GTCCTAACACTAGATTGTGATTTTGATGGAACAACTCTAAATTTATTGAAACTCCATCAGAATGCACACTTAAATTTGGTGATTTATGATAAATTATATGCACAAAAATTCTCCTTAAAAAAGTCTAGGCTTGTTCTCTTCTCCTTCTGCTAAGACTTCATATATTTCTCTGCTGTTTATTTGTGATCAAACTAGAACATTTTTCATTCTCTGATCGTCTCCTTTAGACTTACCCAAATATAGCATCTCCTTACATCTCCCTCCTTCTGTCTGCCTGGCTTGTTCATTCACTCAGTCATTCAATTATTCAACAAAACTATATTGAGCATCTACCAAGATTGAAACCCTGTGCTAGGTGCTGAAACTGTAAGATGAATAAGTCATCTGCTACTGCACCTCTCTTCTTTTACTGTCATCTCTGTTTTCATTTGAAGGTGCACTCACCCTCTCTCCTCTTCCAACTATCTGACATAGGATAGCAATTTTGTAAATTGCTTCAGTGCTTTGCAGATTCTACTTTGAAGTGCCAATCTTTTATACAATGATGACTATATATTTACAACACTTAACCAAAAAATGAAGGAATAAACTGTCCACTGTTTTACAACATTTTAATCTTATAATTCTTGTACACAGGTGTGGTCATTTGAATGAAAATGTCCCCCATAGGCTCCAAGTATTTGGACATTTTTATTTCCAGTTGGTGGCACTGTTTTAGGAGTTCTTAGAAGGTGTGGCTATCCTGGAAGAAGCACGTCACTGGGAGTGGGCTTAGAGAGTTCTAAAGCCTTGCAGGATCTCCAGTCACTCTCTTGCTTCCTGTACCTGCTTGAAGATGTAGAGCTTAGCTTCTGCTCCACCTCCAGCCACTTCTGCCACCATGCCTCCCCACCGTGATGGACTCTTGCCCCTTTGGAACCGTAAGCTCCAATAAACTCTTCTTTCTATAAGTTACTTGGGTCAGTATTTCTCTAACAGAAGAGTGACTAAGACAACAGGTAGCAAGCTGAATGCTGGTGTCCAAGATGAGCAAGGCCTAGAATTTGCCTTCAGAGGATTGCAGGGAGAAACACATATAAGCAACATGACATACAAGGCAAAACTGTGAAAACACACACAGAGGGTGCTAGAAATATGGTATTAGACACACACAACTGTGGGTATATACATAGTTCCGAGCTGGTTTTCAAAACCACCTAGCACGGGGTTTGAATCTTGGGAGGTGCCCAATATAGTTTTGTTCAATAATTGAATAACAGAGTGAATGAACAAGCCAGGCAGACAGAAGGAGGGAGATGTAAGATAAAGGTATCATAAGTATACAAGGGGCAGTACATATCTAAAGAAAGAGGACGAAACAAACACTACTGTAATGTGTGGTGTGGCTAAGAAAATAATTGGAGAAAACTGAACATTTGTTTTTACAAGAGTTGAATAATAAAAGGGCATATAGACTGGTCAAGAACTGTACTCCACATTACAGGTCAGGCTCATCTATTGAAGAACTTTAAGTAAACACTTAACATGGAAAAGATCATGTTGATGATGGCAGAGGGAAAAGATGATGATTAATTTGAACTTTTTTCAATGAAACAGATAAAGGACCCGGGATTATTTCTCCATTTTCCTGACTTTTCCAGAACCAATCATAGCTTAGTAGGCAGGAAGTCATCCTGGTACCTGTTACCCCAGGAAAATGGCCACCCCAAAGATTTTTTATTAAATTATGTCTAGAGACCCATAATAAAAGAATAGTGTGCTGACTTTCAGAGTCTAAATTAGTCGTTTAAATCCATTTCTTCTATGCATATTTTTGTTTTTCATTTTAAAATTTCATTTATGCCGAAAAAAGATACCTGTATTACATCTCCTTCCATGCTTTTCTGTGTCAGAGAAAGCTTTTGGTGACCACGTGGTGGTCCTTGCTGTAAGTACAACATAAGGATGGTATGAGGAGTGACCCTGGCAGGAACATTCCTCAGTTCAATTTGATGAATTTTTTCCGTGCTTTGGATCTTTTCTTTTAATAAGAAAACATACATTCTAAACTGTGAAGCTTTTTGTCTTTCTGTTTTTCTCAGGTTTTATGAAATTAAATATATCTTTTAAAATCTCACTTATGCAGAGACTTTGTGAACTCTGCCTCCTTTCCATCAACCTCATGCTTCTGAATGAGAAAGTAACCTATAGACAAATTAATGTGCAATCCAAACAGTTAGCAACCTGGAGCCGCCATCTCTAGTCCAGAACTTTTCTCCTACATACAAATATGAAACTTTATTTGGACCAGTTTCTGTGATTGCCTTTACCCTATTATTCTTTGGTAAAAACTGGAGATTATGTTGATTTGAGAACTAATACTGCACCACCAAGAATTCTTTTGGAGTCCTTTATAATAAACCTCTCACCTTCCCGCTGGTCAAAGACTTTCTGAAAATGCCTCTTCCTCTTTTCCTAGTGGGATTCCTTTGCAGAATGCAATTTGACTTCCAACAGGGCACACACACTGTAAAAGTCTCCCTACACACACTGGTGTTTCATTTCACACGGTGCACAGCCCTTTGACCCCATCTTCAAACCTACTTTGAAGCATGAATGTTGACCGGTAGAAGGGTTCTCATCCGGGGTCATTCATCAAAGTAGAATCCCTGTATAAATCAATCCCATACCAGAAAAAAAGAAAAGAGAAGAAAGATTGTGAAATTTGGTGTCATCAGTGAAAGTTGTACGCTTGCTTTGAATTTGCATGAAAATGTCTTAAATTCAGGTTCGAGAATGATGTTTAAGGCATCCAAATGTGGGCCCTGGCAAAGATTTCTATTATTTAAAAACCAGTCAGTGTCTGTTGTACCCAAACACCACATTAAAAACAATTCTGGCATGCCATGTTTAAAATACGTCTGAATTAATGAAGAAAAAATGATCCTCCAAAAGCTGAGATTTAGAACTGGTACTGGAGTGAATCAAACCAGGGTTCCTAAAAGCATATAGGAAATATGACACTGCAATTCTGTTTTCCATGAAATAGTAATTAATGGCTATTAGCAAGTGAATAAAATGAGAGAAGTGGTAGGAAAAGACATATGCTGGGATAATTTCTCTTTATTAGAATCAACTGTGCAAAGGTGACATCTTTTAAATGGACTCAAGTTACATGGGCTCTGGTAACTACAGAATAGGGGAAGAGAGATGGGTACTTTGTCCGTGTATTTCTGTTCTGAGATGCGAATGGGAAAGATGATTTAGAAACACAGCAGGCATACTGGAGCCTTGAGATGAGCTGCCCTTTCACAAGTTCTAAATGGATAAGAGCCCCAGGTAAGAGGTCAGCATCTTTTCTCTAATAAGGAGCTGAAAAGAGTAACAAGGTGAAGCTCGAAGCCAACGCTGCAGGAGCCAGGCTCTGCGAGGCACAGAAACATTAGCATTTCTGAGCAGAGCAGCAAATGGGTTCACAGCAATGCAAAGGACAATAGACCAACATCTCAGGTTTGACGGAAACAAATTAAAAATAGATTAAAAACACACTTGTGCATAGCTATTGATATTTCTTTCAATTTTAGCTCCTAAATTGAAAAAATTAATTCTTACCTGTAATTTTCCAAGTATGAATTATATTTTTGTATTAGTCAAAGTTAAGTATTAGTGAAAAGTGATGTCCAAATATGTATTTCATATGCGTGTTAATTTTTAAAATGTTGTATAATAGTATGGAAGTGCAAGTTGTTGTCCTTAATTGCAAATTCAATTTACACAATCTGCACCCAATCTTCTCTGCTTGAGACTACCTGCATTTCAGAATTTGTGCCTAGAAGAAGCTGCAAAATTTTCTCCAAAATGTGTAGAAAATTCACTCTCACTAAACACAGTATTTTATTAGTACTGCTTTCTTTAAGAAGATGATTACAGTGAAAGACTTTGTATAGGTTGGAGAATTTGGAAAGGGAGTGAATGGCAAATTCACATTGTAGGAACAGTGACAAACTTCACATTACTGTTGAAGCTTGGTAGGATTGTTTTGTAAGTAAAGAATATTCAGAATTATAATAGACATATAAAATTTCAAATGTATATTCTGTGATATAGTTGCATATGTTTAGTTTGAGGATTATATCAGTTTAGTTATTATAGTAGAACCTCTATTCCTTTTTTTATAACTTCCCAGGCTGTGATTTTTTATCTCTAGAAGTACAATTAGGGCATAGGTGAAGGCATATTATTATAGTAGAACCTCTATTCCTTTTTTTATAACTTCCCACACTGATTTTTATCTCTAGAAGTTCAATTAGGGTATAGATGAAGGCATACTGGGGGTGCAGAAGAGTAAAAGAAAAATCTTGGTGCCTGGTAATGGCAGCAGTCCAATGTCAAGGCCTGGATACGCAGGACCACTTGTGAAGTTGAGGACCACAGTTGACCCTCAGGGGAGGTGGGAGGTCCATTCCAGAGAATCAGACCTCCCAAGACCAGAATCTGCAAATAACAGAGGCCTTCCCTCTTCCCAACATATGAAGCAAAGCGTCTGCCATGCCCAATCTGGGGGCTGTGGGGAATATAGTCACTCAGAGAAGACTGAAACTGCTGCCCAACATCAGGAAGTCGTCCATGCTCTGCTCCACCATCAGCTACAACCAGAGGAGCTGTGGCTCACAGTAGGGGTCTATAGCTTCCGGCTCATGTAAGGTGATCACAGATCCAGCTCACAGGAGGGGACCACAACTCTAGTTTAGGGGTGGTGACCACAGCTCAAGTTCACTGGCTGAGACCACAACTCTGGTTCATAGGTTGGGGGCAATAGTGTTCCAACTCCCAGGATAGGACAACAGCTTCAGGCTCACAGGGTGGGACCACAGCCCCTGCTTACAGTAGTGACCACAACTCTAGCTCACAACTCAGGCTCACAGGATGGGATCACAGTTCATGGAAGAGGACCACAGCTCCAGCTCACAGGAGAGGACCACACCTAATATTTTTAATATTTAAAAAATTATCATTTTTAGGTTGTTGCATTTATACAGAAGAGTTCCAAAAGAGAGAAAATATTGTGATGATATGGTACAGTCTGTTACAAGAGAAAACTGTCATTCTGGTAAGTGTTCTTTTTCTTAATGTGTCTGTATGTGTAGTATGTATGTGTATGCCATGTGTGCAGGCCCCCACGGAGGCCAGAAGAGAATGACAGATCCCCTGGAGCTGGAGTTACAAGTACTTATGGCCACCTGACATGGGTGCTGGGAAATAAACTCGGGTTCCCTGAGAGGGCAACCAGTGCTCTTAACCACCGAGCCATCTCTCCAGCCCCATTGCTAGTGTTCTTAATGTCAAGTATCATTTTGGAAACAACCCCTAGCCATATCACTCACAGAGCTACCAACAAGCTGACCTTCCCGGTGACCACGACTGTTCAGAGGGTTCGCCTCTTCTCCAAACTGCCTTCTTTGGCAGGTACACTCTGAGAACTGAATTTGACCTAGAAGGTTTGGAATACATACAGTTAGTAAACTAATATGCTGTCGAAGGTAGAGTCTTTCCTGTTTATGGAAGTTTCCAACATAATATACTTTTGGCTAAAACACTATAACTCACAGCCCACTGTTTTCCCCTTAGAAGGCTTTCCTTCCTCAAGCATTTGTTGCCTTTATAGCACTTCGATGTTCTAGAAACCATCGCCGATGGTGTGACTGCATGATGTTTGTTCTGGCAGCACAAGCCAGAAGAGCGGACAGTCGATGCTCCATGGAACATACTCTAATCCTGTTAATAAATCCCTCTTCTTCCCTCCCCTTTGCAGAACTGGTTCCAATGACTCATCAGAGACGTCTCCAAAGATTCAGCACGCTGATGTCTGTCTCTTTTCTCCTGAAGCTGCAGTCACTTCAATAACACATAACATAAATTGCTTTTTCCTCCACCCCTTCCTCTGTCTCCTTTCCCCTCGTGCTTGTTATTCCCGATTGTTCACTGCAGTAAGCAGCACACAGATGTTGTCTCTGATCTTACCTTTTAATGCTAAGAGTGTGCCTGCTCAGTTTCATTATTTTGATAGAATGGCATCAACTGGCCCAAGAAAATACCCGATCAAAAGTTTTCAAGCCATTTAAATGACAGCTTAGCATGTTTATTTTGATGCTTTGAATGAGAGTATCTCCCATAGGCTCCAAGTATATGAATAGCTGGGCCCAATTGATGGTGCTGTTTTCAGAGGTTTAAAATGTGTGACCTTACTGGAGGAAGCAGGTCCTTAGGGATGGACTTTGACAGTTCTCAGCCCGGCCCCATTTCCAGTTCATCTCTCTCTGTGCCTGTGCCTGCTGAGGATATAAACCCCAACCTTCCACTCCAGCTGCCTCCTGCCCTGACTCAGCCTTCTGTAACCACAAGCCCAAGAAGCTCTTCCTTCTATGCTTCCTTCGTCATGGTGTTTTGTCACAGTAACAGAAAGGTAACTAACACAGAATTTATCTTTATCCTTTTATAGAAATAAAAAGACGCATGAACAAAAAGGTTTAAGTGGAGAATTTACAGATGTAACAGATGTTACACTGACTTTATCTTTTGGAAGGAACAAAATTTGGGCACATCTTGATTTATAAAAATAGTCATTGCTTATTAATTCCGTATGTTCATGTGAGGTGGAAAAATAATTACATTGAAGTCCCAGAAGTATTAGGGCCCCATAACAGTTTTTCCCAATGGTTCCTTTTTATGCCTACACAAAAATTCTGTATGTACCAAAGCTTTCCAAACATGCCAGAAGACCCTGGGACTTCTTTCCTGTACAGGCTCCCCACTCCACTTGAATGTCCTCTCTCTCTTTCACTTGAAAAAAAAATACTTTCAACCTAAATATTCAAATTCTAATGCAAAATTTTCTCTTTTGTGGCTTTCACCAACTGCCCTCTTCCTTATTCGAAAAATAAGTGCTCTTCCTTAGACTTTTGTTTCAGCATCACGTAACTGCCGCTATGTCTTTGGTAACACTACTGTAAACTCTCTATAAACTTCATTGCCTTTACTTTAACAGCCCTAAATACCTTATGGCTCCCGAGACATAATAAAGGCACAACAAACAGAAAATACAGAAAACAGAGGTGAAGTAACAGCCAAAAAAAGTACAAGAGAAAGGAAATGGGAATGACGAGGTCCTCCCATGCTTCCCTGTAGTTCAGGTTTAAAGCAGAAATTTAAAGTGGGGATAATGGTATGTTTTTTGAAATCCTAGGAAACATTCCAGCATTTCAAAACACTATGAAAAACTTAATATGATTCTCATGGAGAATTTTTTTTTACTGATTGAAACAGGGCTTCCATTATAACAGAAATCAATAAAGAATGGTTTGCTTTCCAGAATTTTTTTTTTTGCAAAAAATCATCCTGAGTTATACCTGCATCTCAAACATTGTGAGACATGCAGTTATTACTAGAATGAAGTTGCAGTACCTCGACATGATTTAAAGACTGAGGAGGCAACTGCTATTTTTGATTGTGTTAACCTGTACATAATTATGTAATTATCTACTAAAATTTAGTCAGAGTGTTGCATATCTAAATCATTAACTTTAACAATTGACAAGCTGCTTTGATTAGTATTTTCACAGAGCAGGGTACATACTTTTGTCAGTTTTCATATGATTAGCTATGATTGGGAATTTGTTTATGCAAAATGTTTTCACTGCCAGTTTAGAGAAAAAGAGAGGGAGAGGGAGGGCAGGGGAGTCATATGCCTCTCCTCAGCAGACTGTCTTGTGGTGTAACTCAGGAAATGCCAGCGATGAGAAAATACATAAAAGATATACACACCATCACTCCCCCAAATGGCACATAATTTTAGTGTCAGATTAAAAGAATATCTAGAGAACTCAACTTGGGAGACTTGAACTCTCCTATCACAAATTAGACTAACAAGGACATCAGTGTATGTGATACGGACGTAGACTGTCACATTCAGCTTCTGACTTGGCCAGGCAGCCCTTCTAACATCATTGGTCAGGACAGCTGATCTTCCAGGGAAAAGACATTTCAATATATTTGTTATTTATTCTCTAGCAGAAACACGGCAGCTGCAGCAGTTTCTGGAGACTTCTCTGGCACTGATTTGCTATCAGTCCTAGGTAATATTGACTGTACACACATTCCAATTAGGCTAACATCTCCAAATGCAGCTAGCTATTCAAATAGAAAATCCTTTAATTTCTTGGCCATGATGGGGCTGTGTGATGCCAAATTTCAACTCTCTCTGGAAGACAGAAAGTCCTCAGGACATGAAGCGTTTCTTGTCTCCTCTGGCAAATTGGCTAGGCTCATTTGTTTTAAGTAAGCAATTACAAAAAGCAGCTTACGGAAATTTTAAAGTAAAATTAAAAGCAAAAATATTCCTCTGGTTACTATGCATGCACTGCCTTTCCTTCATGAGGAAATGTGTTTGGGATGGAGATGGAAGTAATCAAATAGGCGACAAATCCTAATTTGGAATTGGGAAAAATGTGTGATTTGCCACCAGGAAGGCAAGACTTCCCTTCCAAAAGAATTCTCGATGTAAAATCGACACATCCTTCTCTATTCCCTGTCTTTCTCTCTGAATTTTTATTATGTATTCTAGAGAAAATGCCTAGAAAGTTTTGTTGTATGATGGTCCTTTAATGCCTCCCTATCTGAAGAGAAATAAGATTCTAAGTCCAGTTTGTCTTCCATGAGAGTCACAGAGTGTCATGCCATGTGAGAGATTTGTTTTCCTTATCAGATTAAGAACATTAAACTCCAGAATCACAAAGTATTGATCTCTCAAAATCAGACATTGCTGTTGCCATGTCTCCCAAGCACAAACATCTGTTTCATCTTTCACAATAAGACACTTCCCCAAATCAGACACTGCTGTCTTTGAGATCCAGGATTAATTATACTGTTTTAAAGTCTTCATGATTGAACACACATGCACAAACATCGCTCCCTCATCTTGGCTTTAATCTTGTCTTTCCATGTCTCTGAATATAATTTAAATGTAAAACTTTTTTACAGTTTCAAATCACCATCCATCCCTCTAACTTTTCTTCTACTGATTAAAGAAATATCTACCTTTCTGAAAATCTGAGAAATCCTAGTCTACTTACCTTCTTTGATGACATTCCACATTGTGATAGTTTGAATGAAAATGTCCCCCATAGGCTCCAAGTGTTTAGACATTTTGTCCCCAGATGATGGTACTGTTTTGGGAGGTTTTAGAAGGTGTGGCTATCCTGGAGGAAGCATGTCACTGGGGTTGGGCTTAGAAAATTCTTAAGCCTTGCCAGAGCTCCAGTTGTTCTCTTGCTTCCTGTGCCTGTGTGATGATGTGAGAGCTTAGCTTCTGCTGTTCCTGTCCAGCCACCTCCAGCCACCATGCCTCCCTGCCATGATGGACTGTTAATTCCCCTGGAACCATAAGCTCAAATAAACTCTTCCTTCTATAAATTGCTTGGGTCAGTGTTTCTATCACAGCAACAGAAAGTGACTAATACACACATTATCTGTTCCATTTTGCCAAAGCAAAGTTAATTGATCCCTCACTATATAATTTTGCTTTTTACAAGATCACTCACTTTCATTATTAATCGTCTCATCACTTCCTTTTTATGGGCTACGTGGATATAAATATTTGCAGCAAATTTGGGAGCACCATTATGTATTCCTGTGGCAGAGGGTGGCACGTATAATGTGAACCACATGGAGATTGTAAGTAAGGTGTTTTAAGGAACTTTCCTGCTTGGACTCATCAATAGTTTGGCCACATGGCAGTCTTTGATAGCATTTTGCACCCTAAAGAATGAAATTATTTGGCTTTCACTATTTCTTTTTATATAATATATTGGAATCCAATCTCTCAGAGGAAATGCAACTGTGACATAATGTACAGAGATGGTCAAAGGTGAGCTGCAAGGGGGGTGGAATGGAGAGACGCAGGACTGTTGTGAAGGGTGAAGCAGGCTCAGCAAGGAAAAGCAGGGATGGCGTAAGTTCCAGGATGGCACAAAATAAGCTCTTTGTGCACTGTTGATGTAGCAACATCTGTGTATAGTAACACCGTAGTTCATGGCATGAAAACAGTGTCTGAAACAAAACAAAACCAAATTCTAGCTAGCTCAAGATTTATTTCTTTGTTGTAAAAAGCTGCCCTGTGCATTGTAGTATGTTTAACAACATTTGTGTCTCTATCCACCAGATGCCAGCAGTCTGTAAGTCAGTTGAGCCACGAAAAATTGCTCCAGACGCTTCCAAATGGTCACTGGATGGTAAAAAACATTTTAAGTTGAATCCGCTGTTCTTAAAATCTTAAACTATCTCACTGTACTTTGACCCCATAAACACCTCATTTCCACCTGTCATATGATTTTTGAAGCAAAGACAAGTTTCCTTAAAGTTTAAGTACTCCCTATACTTAAACCATTATGAATGGTAAGTAGTGTTTCGTCATGTGATAAGTGAGAAAATTGATTATCCAGTCAGGTCAGGTATATAAAGAGCTAACAGCAGCTCTGTTCTCCAAGGCAGAATGAAAAAATAAAAAAAAAAAAACAATAAGACCCATCATCCCTTCCTCATGTGTTTGAAAAGTTTCTCACAAGCACAAGGTGCTGGGTATCTACAGGACTATCCCTTTTTTCCAATCAATATTCTGTTGACACAAAATCTCAAGAATGCAGACTCTCTTAAGGCCCTCCAGTTTCTCTTACCAAACAATGGGATATCCTTGCCTCTGGACAAAAATATTATTTCTACTTTAGTAAATCCAGTGGTCTATGATAAGATTTCCCTTCATTAAAAAATCCTACCATGGGTTCCTTCCCTTTGCTGTAAGTTCTTAAGAGTTGGCCTTTGTTTAAAGGATACAAACAGAATTCTGTAACTACCTAATAAACTTTCTTTTTTAATTTAAAGATTGTTTTAATGAATGAGTTTAGCATTTACTTATCTGAAAGACTTTGGAGAGCTAGACAGAAGCTCCA